GAGGAATGAAAGGACAAGAATTTGTCAGCCTGTGCCTGTTTGTGCAGCACCACCCAGACAGGGTAGCTTCTACTGATGTCTGTCTTATCGGGTGCTACAGCTCCAATGGCAAAAAAGGAGTGCTTTCACTGTAGGTAGCTAACACCCGTTCACCATCCTGCTGCAGAAACCCTGTGGCCATAAGTCACTGTGATTTTACTGTTGGGCAAATAGGGCAGAATCAAATGTGGGTGATCTCACACATCTCCCTTGCAGCAAACACTGCAGGTGCCTTGCCATCCCACAGGAATTGATGGTGAGATACGGATTGTGTGTTAATTATCTCTCTGTAAAAACACTGGTGTATCAGAAAAAGCAAAGTCTGAAACAACCAGCCCATGCTGGCAATGTGGTAGGTTTCAGTCGCATGAGGTTTGGGACCCAAGCTGATCCACCACCAGTTGCTCACCTGGGGTTGTGACATTATTCCCCCTCCTTGGGGGCAATAGTAAGGGTTGAAATTTGTCTCCATAGACATTTTGCAACATTTGCTTTCTGTGGGATCAGGAGAAACTCATGGTCACCATGTCTCAGAACAGAGGAAAAATCAAGGCTAAAAATATAGGCTGTGTTTATTTTTGTTGTTTTTTTCATAGATTCATAAATGTTAGGGACTGGAGGAGACTGTACAAGATCATTGGGTCCAGCCCCCTGCACTTGGGCAGGAAAGACTGCTTTATTTTGGTTTGTTTAAAAATACACGTGTTTCATCCTCCCTTATCACTGTACCTCGTGTCTTTTATGACTAGAGACAGCAACAACAAGGCTCTGATTGAGATTGGCACTCCAGAGTATTGTTTCACACCAGTCCCAAGGCGGGACTGACACCTGTCCCCAGAGGTCTGTGTGAAGTGAACAAAGAATTTTAATCCAGGTCCTGTAGAGGGGAATCCTAGCCCCAGACACCAAACCAGACTTCCTTCGATTTCATAGATACTAGGGCTGGAAGGGACCTCGGAAGATCATCGAGTCCAGCCCCCTGCCCCAGGGGCAGGAAGTTAGCTGGGGTCATAGGATCCCAGCAAGATAAGCATCCAATTTACTCTTGAAGGTGTTCAGTGTAGGTGCTTGAACTACCTTCCTTCCTTCTTTAAGTCTGAAGAGAGGGCATGAGCTAAGATGGAGTTAAGATTCATAGATTCATAGGTGTTAGGGTCGGAAGGGACCTCAATAGATCATCGGGTCCGACCCCCTGCATAAGCAGGAAAGAGGGCTGGGTCTAGATGACCCCAGCTAGATACTCATCTAACCTCCTCTTGAAGACCCCCAGGGTAGGGGAGAGCACCACCTCCCTTGGGAGTCCGTTCCAGACCCTGGCCACTCTAACTGTGAAGAAGTTCTTCCTAATGTCCAATCTAAATCTGCTCTCTGCTAGCTTGTGGCCATTATTTCTTGTAACCCCCGGGGGTGCCTTGGTGAATAAATACTCACCAATTCCCTTCTGTGCCCCCGTGATGAACTTATAGGCAGCCACAAGGTCGCCTCTCATCCTTCTCTTGCAGAGGCTGAAAAGGTCCAGTTTCTCTAGTCTCTCCTC